TTTCACACAAATTGTCTTCCTGTGTGGAACGGAAATATAAAGCACTAAAAATGAGTGGTGTGAACTGGGAGACAGTTGTCCACAGGCAATACCAGTGCACGCTGGGAACGTGCCTTGGCCAGGGTCATCTTCTAAACGCCAGAGTCGTTTCAATCCATTCACACCTTCCTTCCCTAAATATTTCAGTCTCTCACAGTAGGTGAGCCCTTGCAACACTTTTGTTTTACTCTTACTGTAACCAAATACCTGATAGAAACAACTTAAGGGGAAAGGATTCATTTTGCTGGTGATTTCAAATGTTTCAATCAGTGATACTGGGAAGGCAGCTATCTCCCAAGAACCACTGCTCATGTCATGGTAGATAGGGAACACAGAAGATCATTAACAGGAATGGACCAGAGTCTTATGACACAAGGACACACCCCAGTGACCTAATTCCTTGAACCAGGCTCTCTACTTTCCATAGCTGAAGAGAAATTTCAATTCAGAACATGGCTCCACTGGCAAGAGATCACATCTAAAGACCTTCTAGGTCTGTGTGATCCAGCTGGAATACAGATACTCTTTTAATCCAAGGAGACAGAGGGAAACAGATCTGAGTTCAAGGCCAGCCTGGTACAAAGCAAGTTCCAAGCAGAGAAAAGCTTCGGTCCAGGCACGGTGGTGGAACATGCCTTTAATCCCAGCACTTGGGAGACAGAGGCATGCAGACCTCTGAGTTCTAGTCAGTTCTGTTCTGTTCGTTTGAGTCAGTAAATTGACAGACAGTGAATGGAGTTGAGTTTGCGGCAGTTCCGTTTGTGGAATTCAGAGGCAGTTTTACCAGAAGAGTTTTACAGAGACAGGTCGAAGAGAGAACAAGCTAAACACAGGTAAAAACAAAATGAGCCACAGAATGAGAAGGAGCCAGAAGATTAAGACAGCTTGCTAGAGTTAGTTTGAGGCCAAGCAGAGCAATTCAGTAGTAAACTGTGAGAAGCCAGTTTGAATCAGCCAGCTTAAAGAGGAGTTTGAGCCAGAACAGCTGAGTTGAACCAGCCAGCCCAGAGCTCAGAAAGACCTAGAAAAGGTGAGCTTATTCAGCAGTAAGTCTCAGAGGCTGAAAATATTCTAGGCCTAGATTAGATTGCTCGGAGACTAGACGCTTCCAGGACGAGGCCTAGGTTAGCAGAGGGAGGCAGTAAGCTTCCGAGATGAAAATTACTTCAGGAAACTAAAAGTTACTTTAACACAGGGTTCTACTCCCTGCCAAACCACTCATGAGAATTTGTGATCTAACTGTATCTGAAAAAGTCTACTTGACTGATCTCCTAGGCATTTCACATTCAAATCAAGTTGATATAGGGCCTGGCCTTTAGTCTTCTCCAATATCCATGTTGTTTCCTCACGTAGGCCCTGACCCTCAACCTGTATCCATCGTCTCTGACTTCTTCAGGAGGCTGTGTATTAGCCTAGGATGTCTGGCTTCAGCTGAGCTTCCTCCTGACAGCTTTATGTCTTCATGAACTAGAAAGCTGGGCGCGTCTGTAGAGGGCAGATACCACTCAGCTGCGGGACCCTCGTCCTCGGCAAGCTGTCAAGCACAGTTGGCAAATGCAGGATGAGGACACAGCTGTTGCTGGGCCTTTTGCAGGGCCAGGTACTGTTTACAGAGCAGCTGGGGCTATCTGGACTTAGGCTCTTTGGCCACTCACAAGTGGTTCAGGGTGCTTCAGGAGACGCTGCCATTCTCCCGCTCATCACTTTTCCCTCGCAGTGGACACTGAGTCCTCCTTCGTGCCTGTGAGACAAGCCCTTGCTCCTGCTTGCATACATCAAAAGCTGACACCTTAAAGAAAGCGAGAAGATGAACCAGTGGACTGGTATAGCATCAGGAAACTCAAGGCCTAACATCTGGAAGGATTTGTGCAGCTGCCAGAGATATAAGTCACAGTGGGAGACAGCTGCCTCTGCTTGGAGGAGTTTGGAGAAAAGCTATGCTTCAGGGGCTCTGGGCTGCAGGATTAGTCTGGCAGAGAATGATAAACATGAGAAAAGGCGAGCTGCCCTCTGAGGCTCCATCACCCTCCAGCAGAGGGTTCTGCTCAGTCCACGGTTCTCAACCCCTGGGTCGGGACTCCTAGGAGGGGTGCAGCACCCCTCCCACAGGGTCCCACATCAGATACCTGTGTCTCAGATGTTTACATCACAGCTCATAATGACAGCGAACTTACAGTTATGAAGTAGCAACGAGATAATTTTATGGCCGGGGTTACCATAACGGGGGGAAGGAGGGAACTGTTACAGGTCTTAGACAAGGGAGGTTGAGAACCACTGTGTTATGTGCTAAGAGAGCAGTCCGCCTGGTCTGCTGGACACACAGGCTTTCTCTTCACAGTCCCTCTTGATGAGGAAAGACTCAGCCCAGGATCACAAGGTATGTGATCCTCTCCGGGAGACTCAGTTAACTGATAAGAAGGAAGTTTGAGCATTGGTGTTAGAGATGAAAATGGAGCAAGCTGGGGCGCTTCGCTGGGCTTGGCCTGGGAAGAGGGGGTGAGGCAAGAGCAGAAATATTCACAGGTGTGTTAGCAGAGGAATGAGGACAGATGTGTGCTGGGGGTGTGCTGGGAGCCACGCCTGGGAAGCAAGAGTTTGCACAGAACAATCCATCCTTTCAGGACAGGGCCTCAGAGATGTCTAGGAGAGTCCACCAGGGGCCCTAACACATCTGGTGTCATAGGCTGCCAAGGGGCACCAACTTCAGGACCTGGGAAGCTGAGCAGCTTGTAGGAGGAGTCTGGAGAGCAGAGAAAGTCTCTCAGGCTTGGGCTGGGGAAGATTTGTACTGAAAGGGAGAGGGCGAGGCAAGCCAAAGCCTAGGGAGGAGCTCTCTGGCTGCCGGGCCATGTCTTCCTGGCTTTCGCTTTCATCACTGTTCTATCACTGTTGTCCCTTCATGCACACTCACTCGGAGTAAAGGGGGAAAGACTGCTTCACTCCCCACATTTCCTGACACAAGAAACTTCATCTGTGCCTGTCCTGCTACTACGTTCTGTCCTTACATGCCTGTGGAGATGAATCTCAAAGGTTACCCTCAAAGGACAGATTTCCTTCGTCATTTGTAAGAATTAACTCTCCCCTTTCTTCCTTCTCTATTCCTTCATTTTGCTTTGCCACCCACGACATTTAACATAACCTAGTACATTATATTTTTTATTTTTGTGAACACACCACCCCAGTGAAACTCTAAAAAGGAGAAACATGTGTGTATCATTTGTGTCCTTTCTATGCCAGGCTGCCATTACTTAGGCTGAGTTCCTGGGTTCTCCTTGAACTTACAGTTCTGATTTTTGGGTTTTGTTTGTTTGTTTGTGGCTTTGTTTTGCTTTAAGACAGGCTTTCCTTTAAGCCCTGGCTGTCCTGGAGTTTCCACTCACAGAATTAGGCCCACCTCTACTTCCCAAGTGTTGGGATTAAAGATGTGTGGCCAATGCCCGGCCAATTGCCCACCTTTGTCTCCTGAGCTAGCATCACAGACACGAACACTACACCTGGATATCTGTTTGTTTGTTTGATTGTATTCTGAAAGTCTGGTTTTGTGACTGACCATTTCAAGTCCAAAAGAAATACCTGTTGAATGGCCGGTTAAAAGATGAATAGAGTAAAACCTCTAGCATGCCTGAGAGCTTGTGTGTGTGTATTGTCTGGTCTCTCTCAGGACTAGACACCCTGTTTTTAAATTGTGGTTTTTGACCATGCTTGCAAGTATTTTTTAACATAAAGAGAACTCTCTGACTGCTGCGTGTTATGCTTTTGAACATGAGTTTATCCTTTTTTTGGCGAAGGGGGGATGTTTTGTTGTTTTTTTTTTGACTGTGTTTCTGCCTTCTCTAGCTGTGTGAGAGTGCGTCAGCCTAATTGTCAGGATTTTTTGGAGGAACCGCGGCGGTCTCTAATCAGCAGAGGGCACTAGAGCTGTGTGCCTTGGTTCCACACCTCCGGACCAGCTATCTTGGCCAGGAGCTTTTGGGGACTCAGGAGATCTAGACTCAGAGGAGGAGGAGAGCGCTCCAGACCAGCGTAGCTGGGGAGTTGTGCAATGCCTGTGACTTTTCTATTATTTTCCCCACACTCATTCCCTAGGGTCCAGACTTGCGGCAGCCCGTGAGCAGAAGGATTTATTTAGGAATGGGGCGGGGGGTATGCTGGGCCCTTCACAGGAGCGCCCTTCCGAAGGCCCTTTCTTTTCGCTTCTCCACCCCGGCGGGAGGCACAAGCGAAAGCCAGCGACTTGTCTGGCTTTCCCTCCGGATGGATGGGTGTCTGGGATGAACAAAGGGAGAGTTGAGTGCGCCTCTCCGTGGCTGCGGCGGACTCCGGCGCCGAGGCGGGCCTCAACGTGGCTGGCTGGGGCTCAGCAGGAGCTCAGAGGCAGATTCAAGATCGCTCCAGTCTGAGATTCGTGGGCGCGGAGAGGTCCGCGCCCCCTCCAACATCCTCAAGTTAATTGAGAATTCTTAATTTAGGCACCTAGGGTTAGATTCGGGGCTGTGAGATTAATATGAAAAACAGATCTCAAAGATCCCCCCCCCCCGAGACAGACAAGCACACCCCTCCTAACACAGTCACCCAAACGGATGGAGGTTCGCCCTCAGCCCCGGCTGCCACGCCGTGCCCGGCTCGGCGGCCCCCCCGGGGGCGAAGTAGGTCTGCGCCGCCGGCGCGGTGGGCCGGAGCCCGCGCCGCCGCCTTCCCTGCCCCTCCCCGCCCCTCGCCTCTGCCCTCAATTCCTTTCTCTGTCTCTCCTCCCAGCTCGGTTCCCGCGAGCGGAGCGGGTGTGCGCGCTGGGGACCGGGGGAGGGAGCGGAGGGAGGCGCCGTCGGAGGGAGAGCCGACGTCAGGAAGAGGGAGGGCGGGAGGGAAGCGGGGGAGAGCGGCGCGGAGCTTGCGAGAGGCCCGGAGATAAAGCTGGAGGGCAGGAATTACGGGGGGGCGCGGGCCGGGAGGAGGGGCCGGGAGCGAGCCCGCGGCCGGGGAGGCGAGCGGGCGGGAGCCGCTGTGCGGAGGCGGGAGCGAGAGGCCGAGCGGCGGCGGCCGGCTCGGGCCCAGCGCGGGCGGACGGCATGCTGAGCCTCCTCTTCTGGGCGCTCACTCTCCCCGGCACTTTCTCTCGAGGTAAGCCCCGGCAGCGGGCTGGGGAGCGCGGGACGGCGCGGGGCACCGGGAGAGCACCCGGGAGTTGTTGGTGGGGCGGCCCAACTTGCCCGCTCCGGCTGCGCGGGAGAACAAGAACTTAGGTCGCGAGAGCCGAGCTCCGAGGAGAAAAGGGACCGAGGGCTCCAAGTCTTTCCTCCAGTCCCTGGCGGTCCTCCCTCCCTTCCTCCCTCCCTCCACCCACTGAGCCCGGGCCCGAACCCCTGGGTCCTGGCCAAAGGCAAGGCTGGGAGGAGGTGGGATTTGAGAGTTGGGGGTTGGGGTGCACGGAAGGCGCGGACGCAGGCTCCCGGGGATGAGGCTGAGGGATCCTGCTACCCGAACCCTAGTCACCTTCATCTGAAATGCAGCTGCAAACTGCTTGGGGCTTCCCCTCACAGGAAGGCTGACTTTGGTCCCCAGCCCTGGAGGCTGGAGGTGAGGGCCTGGGCTGTTGGGGTTCGGCAGGAGTTGTGGGGAGTTGACTGGACCAGGCTCTCACTCCGGCTCAGGAAAGTGCAGATTATCTGCGGCTCCTTGGGAACTGGCTGGGCAGAGCTGGAAGTAAGTAGGGCAGAGACGTGAGGATTTTCAGGTGCCCTGGGCTGGCTGCGCGTGAAGGAACCTAGAGTACAAACCCCGGCCAGGCCTGGGGTCTGCGGGAATGGGGTCTTGCCCCCTGAAACTGACTTAAAGGAAGATTTAGTACTGTTGAGCCCCTCCCCCGAACTGGAACACAGAAACTGGCACACAGATAGCTTCCAGCAGAGACAGTGAAACACACTGCTCACCTCTGGAGACCTCCCCACAAACGCCCCCCCCCACACACACACAGACACACACAAAGACGTTGACACCTCTGAGGGAGGAAGATTGCTCTGACAGGCCAACACACCCCGGTCGTACACCCGGCATCAAACTTAAACTGTATGTGCACACATTCAAAGGACGGCACAGCCACTCACACAGAATCGCTTTCACATATCCACGCCATGGAGCAAACAAAGAAACTTGGGCAGACATTCTTACAGGCAGGCGCCTACAGAGATGTACAATCTTCAAAATGGAGGAGGTGGTCTCTCCTTGGGGTAGGCGAGCGATCTGGGAAGCCTCCTGCCGGCAAGAGCCTCAGGCATTGGCCAGCTCAGCTCCCTTCCTCTCCTGAATTGTGTGTGTGTGTGTGTGTGTGTGTGTGTGTGTGTGTGTGTGTGTATTGGGGGTGGACCCCTGCTCTCTTTGCTAACCTCTCCTTAGCCCTGAAGGCAAATCCTGGCTTAGTTTGGGGGTCTTGATTCACCTTTCTTCACTGGAGCCCCAGGACTCTCTGAGAACATGGGAAGGCACACATCCATGGTGTGAGAGCAGGAGTGGACCTGTGGGGTGGGCGGGGGAAGAAGGCCTGGCCAGAGGGTTGGCCACTTGGCAGAAAGTTGGGAAGATAAGTTAAGTTCTGACTTTGTTCAGCCAGGTTGCTAGAGAGGGGGAGGGGAGAGCATGGTGGGTGAGGGGCCGCTGTGTCAGTTCTGTCGTGTGTCAGGAGAAGGCTTCTATCGGCCTCTCTCATGTAGCTCGCCTAGTCCAGAATGAGCTTTAAGAAACAGAAGCTGCAGTTTAGCAAACGAGAGAGACATGTAGCTTGAGTCTGGACTGATGGAAGGTCAGAAAAAATGCTTGCCTCGTACCTGTCCGTCTTTGAGGGTGGGTGTGGCTAGGGATGCAACTGAATCCCAGCTGTTTGACTATAAGAGGTGAAGGCAAGAATGCAAAAGGGTGCAGACGACATTTCGGGGTTGTGGGGGAGGAAAGCAAAGGGAGAGAGGAGTCAGGAGAGAGAAAATCTCCACAGAGTCTTGGGGAACACTCAGCAAAGGGCTAGGCAGGAGACCCTTAGGGGAGAAATGGGGACACTGGCCATCTAAGACTGAGGAGGGAGAGAGTACACAGTGCTTGCTCGTGAGTGGAAGGCTGAGGGATGACAGTGGGAAGTGAGGAAGAAGAGAAGTGGGTGGTCAGAGGAGATCAAAATTGATGAGAGAGGAGCCGAGAAGGGAGATTCAGCTTAGCTGAAAAATAAAAATCGTATTTTAAAGACTTGCAGTGGGCTTCATCTATCTTCATTTTTTACTAAATAATTTTCTGTATCTTATCTAAATGAAAACCATTACCTCCCCCTCCCCCGCCACTGCGTCCATCATGCCCTAGCTCCCAGACTGATTGCACTGAAAATTGAAATATTTATTCATTTTCTAGGAGATTTTTCTCCCTCCCTAGTCTCAGGGAGGAGAAATTGAAAAGGAAGGATTGTAGTTAATCAGAGCAATGTGGGGTGACAGGATGGCTCCAGTGGGAGCCACCTCCAGAGCTGGAGGAGGGAAATCTGTTCCTCAGGCACCCCCACCCCCACCCAGCTCCTCCTGTCTGTGCTGCCTTTGCTCCAAGGAGACTAAGGGGTAAAACAAAGAGGCCCAAGGGCCTCCTATGTTTCCAGCATTTAGCTCCCTGTGCACAGTTATATCCTGGCAGAGAACTGTGAGCCTGGATTCTACAGCTCCGTTCTGTACACGCCATACACTCTGAATGTCCTACTTCTGCCCAAAGCTGGGGTAGAGGGAGGGGAATTGGGCAGAAACCAAGCTACCAGGCCCCCACACTTTGATTGGATTCCATCTGCAGACCTGTGCTGGAACTCAAAGGGAGACATTAAGCGGGGGGGGGGGGGGGGGGGGGACACCACAGGCATCCGTCCGCAGCACCCAGGCAGGGCAGAAAGGAGGTGACAGCCACGCAACCTTTGCTTCATATTCCCACCGGGTGGCTGGTCCCACTCTGCCTTTCTAGTGGGGTAGCCCAGGCTTGCAGAGAACTGTACTCTGAGCTAGCTCCTGTGAGCTCCCTTGGGACCCAGTTCTCCCTCGTGCTGCTGGGGCACAGTGCTGTAGTCGTGGCCCCTAATATCTGACTGAGGAGAGAGCTGCAATGCAGGAGGCAGTCCTAAATGGTGATGACGTCACAGCCTCAGCCTGGTATGCTTGGAATCCTAGTGTTCAGAGGCTGAGTGCGGCAGGAGCTGTGAGTTCAAGGCCAGCTTGAACTACAAGCTTCAGGCCAGTCAAGGTGAATTTTAAGTCCCCAGTAAATAAATAAACATGTAAGTAACTGAATCGACAAAATCAGAGACTTACACTGAGCTCTCCCATGCTGGTCTTCTGAAGAGGTTGTGTGCTCTGTGGGTGCCTTAGTTTGCTTGTATGTAAGATGGGGATTGTGATATATATTTTAATCCCTGGGTTATTTGTTTGTTATTTATTTATTTCGTTTTTGTTTTTTTTTTTTTTTTGAGACAGGGTTTCTCTGTGTAGCCCTGGCTGTACTGGACTCACTTTGTAGACCAGCCTGGCCTCAAATTCACAGAGATCCACCTGCCTCTGCCTCGCTGGGGGTTGAGATTACAGGTATGAGCCGCCTCACCTGGCGTAATCCATGGATTATTACTGTATATTAATCTCTGGAAAGATGGTGACTGGTGTCTGGCACAGAAGTACCCAGTACTGTGCTATGATTTTGCGTCTGAGCAGAAGTGGACAAAAGTTGAGCTGACTGCCCCTCCTAGTTTCTTGCTTGTGGTTCTCTTTGTTTTCCAGTTCCAACACCCCTGGGTCAGTCAGTCAGTGCTCTGCATTGTAGAGAGAACCTGAAAGACACAATTCAGCTTTCCCCCTGGTTGATGCCCTCAGAAAATCTTCAGAAGACACCTGAAGGGCAGGCAAACTGGAAAACTGTGAGCTTTTGTGTGAAATGAGAAGTGGGGTGTTTCAATGTGAGCAATAACACAGATCATTTAGTGAGCTCTCGTGTTAATGGCTTTAAATGCGTATTAACTTAAGCTGTACAACAGTCCCCTGAAATCAGCTGGGAAATTAATTTCCCTTTTCCTAGGTGAGAAACTGAGGTTCAGATATGTAAGGAGACAGCTGATTCCAAGCCTGCACTATTCTCTTTGGCCAGAGACCCCTCAGCTAGCCGGGACTGAGGCAGAGGTGCGACTCCCCCATCCGTGGTAGAGTAAGTGGGGAGAAAGGGATTGTTTCATCAAGGTAATAATAGCATTTAAACTTTTAAAAACAGCCTTTTATTTGAGGATTCCGCCCTGCAGTTTTGGGCCCTCTATGCTATGGCCATCAGCTGGCTATCTGTTAAAATTAGACTTACACACTGTGTTTGTTTCTTACATGAAACCTAGCCTTTCTAACCCATGGACATCTACATGGAGGCCCCCTCTCCCCCCCGGCTGGTTCTGTACAGGCTTAGCACCATGCAAGGGCCGGGCAGCGAGGGGAGTCTGGGGCCGACCTGTGCCCCCTCACTGCCAGCCTCCCAGCCAGCTTCAGGCTCGGCACAGTAGAGGCTGAGTGCTTGGTGTCTGGTTAGACTCACCTGGAGGTACTCAGCTTTGCTTTTCAGCTGGCTCCCTGGGGACCTGCCTGGCCTAAGGTCCTGAAAGGGATCATGGGAGATCAGCAGCATACCAAGGTGTCAGCATTACCTTTCACTGAGCTCCTGCTGTGTGCTTTTCAAAATTGATGTTCCTGCCATTTCATAGATAAGAAAACCAAAATTGGGAGGTTAAACAAACTCGCCGGGGGCTGTCTCCAGAGTATTAGCGCCCGGATCCAAGCCCCTTTCTGTCACCACAAAGCTTATCTGTGCTGGCAACCTCTGTTAAGGGGAGGAGAGCTTAGGCCTGCTGTCTTGTTCTGTACAGCAGTCCTCTGGGGGCTGAAAATTACCCATAGCTTCTCAGCTAGGCCACCATAGTTGCCTGGATTTGCCATCAGCATACAGAGGTGGGAACAGAGTATTTCATCCTTGTCAGAAAGAGGTTTGTGTTGCCCCGTCTCTGCCTGCCTGTGATTTCAGGTGTGTTTGGAGCAGAGTGGGGGAGTGTGATGGAAGCAGGCCCGGGGCTAGGCTAGTGCTTTCTC